AGAGAGAGAGAGAGAGAGAGAGAGAGAGAGAGAGAGAGAATGAACTTATCTGCCCTTTTTGACGAGTGAAATACCAGAAAATAAAGTACCACAGGAAAAGCTTTCCAAATGAGCCCTGACTTCCAGAGTTCGACTTTCTGTTTACTTTCTTATCTACCCTCTATCTTCAAATTATTCCTCTAGCCTGGATCAGACAGCAAATTTGTACTTCTCCACTAACTCCCTTTCAGCTGGCCACAGCAGAACTGTACATCTCGGCTCTTTTTTTACAGCTTTTCCATACTGGGGCCCACTTCCTGCCCAGTTGAGGAAAAAAATCTGGCCTGAAGATGAAATGACTGCTTAACATTACACTGAAACATCTGGTACCATTTTATGCACAGACCCATGTCTGCGCGCAGGCGATTCTAGCGGTCTCTCCAGCGGCACAGCACATACCCAAACCTCCCCAGGGTGACATCATCCCATATATGGACTCTCCAGCCCAGCCCTCCCCCTTTTCCTGGTCCTAAATTCATTGCCAGTTCCCCAGTCTGCAGCAAATGTGCCACGTCAAGACTGAAAATCACAGCCCTTGAGTGTGGCTCAGTCAGTGCAGCAGAATTCGGGGGGGAAGCCGAGTGCAACTTTTCCCAAAGACCCGGAGAGGATTTTAAGCACCCCGATGGAAGCCTCTGGAGGTCCTGCTCCGTCGCCCCAGTGTTCAGACTACCTGTTCAGGACAATGCCGTTGTACAGTAGTCTGCACATTGGTTAGACTGGGCAAGGCAGAGCAACGCCACGGACGGCTGGGGACAAAAGTGGCTGTTTCCCAGGAGAGGACATTTGTTTGCTCCTCTGTGGAATCTCATGCCCAGTGTTTCTCTTCACAGGTTTTGCACACTAGGGACCAAGAAGCCCTCTGGGACACCGCCGGGAAAGCACTGCTCCAGGGAAGACCTGCGGGTAAGGCCCTCTGGCTGCTCACCTGGTCTGGGACCAGGACAGCGGAGGTGGGAGCCAATGGCTTTCATTCACATGTGAGAGAAACTGAGGTATCTATCGAGTGTGTGACGGGGGCTCTGCCTTTAGCTTGAAAAGAGGAACCGTGTGCGGGACGTGGCGATTTACTATCTGTTATTCGATTTCTGAAGGGTTATCAGTCAAGTATTTTCAGAAGTTGAAAAGTTTTTCCCTCTTCAGGATTAAAGATGAAAAGACTCCAAACATTTAAGAATAATTTAACAGATCTGGGTTTCAGTTGTTGAAATGAATAATCCGGAGACCTAAAAACTTATTTGAATGGGGGCTCTAGTAGAACTTTACCATCCCAGGACTGAGTCCATTTTGCCCCAAAGGAAAGAATACTTGCTATTTCTGATAATGCTATATGATAGTGCTTTTCTGAAGTTTTATGTATATAATAGAAATACCAGGGATAATAGTATCTAACAATAAAAGAAGAGGCTGCCAAGTTTTTGCCCACCAGACAACGCCGATGGGACTTACCCAGAAAAGAGCGCCAACCCAGAACTATTGAGTCAGCAACTGAATAAATCGGGGAACAGAAGTCTCTATCTTCAGATATCCATATATATAGATAGATATATCAATATCTATCTATATATATATCGATATATATATATACACACATCTCTGTAATTTTTTTTTTAATCCAAGAATGGTTGATGATTGCTGGTCAGCTGAGCCGCTGGGCCGGTGTTTTACAATGCTTCTATTTCTCTGAGCATTTAAAATGATAAGGTACTTTGTCTAGAAACCCACTGATAAAAAAGGAATTTGTAAACGAAGGCAAAGTTTTCTTTGGTCTGTTTCCAGCTGTCCTAGAGGTGAAGGAGGGTGGGAGAGGGGGAGGAAATTGGGAGGGAGGAAAACCCTCAAGCTGAATGAAATCCCAGCAGAGAGAATAATACAGAAAGTCTGGGGTTGCAGCGTGATCCACGCTGATCTTCAGAGGTGGGTCCCTGAAAGAAAGTTCTGGAAAAATGTTACTGCCTCACCCCTAATTCCCTCAACCTTCCATTTTTTTTTATATCTACCCCCTAAACGATGCTATATAATGAAAACATCTGTTCTTTAGGCTTGTGTGAGACATAAATATAATTTCTTTTGTCCTCCTTAAAATTCTTTATAAAGTCACAATGGTTCCCCAACAAATCCTTTTCTGAGTTATATATTTTGCAACAATTCAAAAATTGTCCCAAGTTCTCTTTTGCAAAACATTTTATCACAAAAGTTATCTTTTGTCAAAATTATTTACTTTAAAAAATTACCCTTCTGATCACCCTAGGAGTGCTATAAAGAACACACAAGTTTTCTCTTTTATTACGGTTTTCAGTTTAAATATTTTTAAAAAGGCGGAATTTAGCTATCTTCTCCACTTAGATGATATGATGTTTTTTTTCTATTACGACTTGGAGGCTTCCATATTAATTATTTTCAATATAACAAGTGAGATTTTTTTTTAATTTATATAGTTTATTTTACATAGGAGAACTGAAAAAAAAGAAACTTTTAGGTAACTTACAAGAGCTTATTTTTTCAAGAAATTTATTTTTACTAATTTATACAGTTATAAAGAAGAAAGATAGCTATGATAGCTATAAGATACTTTAGTAATATTTAAGATTTCTCAAATTTTTTCTTGTTGTTTTACTCTAGAAATGACTGAATTTTATAACGTGCTTTCATTTCACATGTACTTAATGTAAATGTCTTTCTTTCTATGGAATGGCCTTTTTGTTTCAAAGGAACTAGCCACCACCAGTCCCTCATCTATTTTCTCCCTCAGGATGACTTTTAGTCTGGAGACACAGGGACTTGAAGGTGTCCTTAGCGTAAGTATAGGAGTAGAAACGTAAAATGAAATTATAAAGGAGTTAGCCAAGGGGCCCCTGCACACGCTCGCTTGCTCGCTCGATCGGTGGAGTTGCGACAACCCATTTTTGATGCAAACTTTTAACAAATGAAAAGAGTGCTTATTTTTAAGTTGCATGAGCTAAGTGAAAGATCAGAAGTCACAGCTCGCTTTATAAACCTCTGCTGACGGAAGGCAGGGTGGTCGTTTATGGATATACCAACATATAGACACACAGATCGTAAAACAACCTGACCTATGGCCAGGGTGATCAGAATACTGTTTAACTTTATTTTGATATTACTTTATAAGGAGACATACAAATATTTTAGGGGTCATGGAATCTATTCCAGAGGACACTAACCAACCGTGATCACCTTCGACTAAAGCTTCCCGTGGAGACGATGGTAAGTGTTGAGCACTAAACTAAACATTGTACGTCGTGAGAAAGAGAAAAAGTGCTTGCAGGGCCTGTCAGACACTGCACATCCTAGGAACTTGGTAGTTCGCGCTCCTTTCAGTGCGTGGATGATTGATAAGTTAGACAAGGTGCTGGAGTAAAAGAACTTTCTCTGTCCTCTAAGAGAAAGGAAATTCAGAGCCTTAGTTTAACTGCAGGAGGATCGATATAAAACGGTTTGTTTACATTTGCAACGCCCCCCCCCCTTTTTTTAAGAGCCATAGGTCTCCAAATCCAAGAAAGTTTGTTTACAATGGGACAAAATTTCACACTGATCACTTTCCTGCCATTAGTCAATAGGTTTAATGTCCTTCCTGCTTGGCGTTTTAAGCTTTCGCCCAGATAATGTGTTTATGTTTTCCAAAGACCAAAATATACTATCTACCCCACCTCTCGCCTACAGACCACCCAAGTTTTTCACTCTGTGGGAAAGAATTTAGGCATGAACCTCCTAATGACAGAAATCTCCCCCCCTTTTTTTTTTTGGATTGAAGTCATAAAGCTGTGATAAGAAAAAAAGGAAAATACAACTTACTAATGTAAGAAGTTCACTCATCCACCCGCGCCATCATTACTAAAGAAAAGACAAGGCTTTCAATTCCTGTACGAGAGATCTGCTCTTTAAAAACAACCCATTTCCCTCTTCTCTAAAGGGAAGATCCCACCCATGACAACAACATCCAGTTAAGAACTAAAAGACCATCACTCAGAAACCCCGGCTTAAAATAACTTGAAGATCAGGCTTTAACAGGAGGACAGCAGAAGACAGGAAATTCCTTAGGAAAGACTGAAACTTGCTTTCTTGCTTTCATGGGTCTTTTTACCTTGGTGTGCAGCAAATTATGTACATAGCAACATTTATGCATTTTTTGGACAATTTTTATCAGCTCTAATAAATAGGAATAGTGAAGCAAATTAAGGAAAACCATTAAATCTTCATTTTGAATTTCCTGACTTATAACAGCCAGTTTCCTGGAGCTGCTGTTGTTGAATTTTGCTATGGAAGACTTCGAACATAATTCCTTTCTTGCCTTTTTTCTTAAAATAAATAAAAGACAAAATAGAAATAAGCTGTGTAACCTTATTAAAAAATATACTGTATGATAATAATGTAAACAGAGTTTACATTTTAGCTACAATTTTAAGTGATAACAAATTAATAGTCACTCTATAGTTCAGGGGATAGAAAAATAGTCTTAACTGTTTTGTCGACCTTTCATCTTTTTAACAAGCTTAGGGGCAGGTTCAACATAACTATGAAATGTGCAGATGTCACATACTTACTATAATTGCGTTTTAAAAACCTATTATAAACATAAATTGTCCAAAGTCTCATGAGTGGAGTCAACATTTTTCAGCAAGATTTTTTTTTCCCCCTGAAAAATAGTTATGGTCTTTCAGGCTCTGATATTTCTGGATACCTTGCTTTAATAGACTTGTTTCATATTAAAGGATACCATATGAACTCACAAATATTTCTTTCTATTTTTCCAGGTTGCATGCACCATTCCTTAAATTGAGCAGAGTTAACTGGATCAAATTATTTATGAGAAAGAGAGGGAATACAGAATTACAGTAATTTTTAATTTCCACTAGTATGCTCTTTGTAAGTGAATCACTCTATAAATATTTTCTGTTGCACTGAATGCAGCAACAATAACAAAATGGGTGCTTAAGGTATTTGTTTTTGCATACTCTGACCTTGTAATCATTTAAATAGCAGCCAAGTTTACTGATGTTTTTGATTCTTTCAAGGGGGGAAAAAAAAAAAGAAAAAGTCCTCTGCTCAGAAGTGCTGACCAGAAACAGAATCAGACATTTACTTGCAATTAAATAAATAAATGGAAACTTGCACTTATCAACTCTTCCTTAAAGCTGTACCCTATCTAATCACTTCATAAATGTTGATATGTGTAGAAAACTCATTTTTTTCACAGTCTCTAAAAACTATTTTGCTGCCCCTAAACTAGGTCCTATTTGCTCTGTTCTCAGAATTTTACAATTAAAAGGAAATAAACTGTTTTCTTTAAGATTCTTTTAAAAAGTTCCTAATGACATACTCCTTGGACAATAAGGTCTGGTTTTGTTTTTATTTTAAGAAATCCCACTTAGTGAAATTTTGACTATCTAGATGTTTTGTTTTTGAAAGGGCAGGGGACTTTGTTCAACACCTCTATAGATGAGAACTGATCATTTATATTAAAATAGCCAGTAGAATTAATTCTTGACTCACCAGAATTCAATTTTCTGTCTGTCTATTTCACACAATTACTTTCTCATACAAATTGTGGGGGAAAGTCCCAAGTCTGGTTGTACATTTGGGATGTGAAGCGCAGTTTCCTTTATTGTGTCCAAGGTAGTATTTTGTAACTGTGTTGCTCTAACAATGTCCATCCCACATTCTGAGCATCACTGGGGGTGACAGCTTTTTAGTTCATACCCTTTTGATTCATGTCATGGCCCTGTGGTTGATTAACAGGAGAACTTACGCTCACAACTGCTTTTCATTTGGTTTTCATATCCATACTTAAAAATTTTGCATTAAAAAGGATATGAGACACTGAAATAAGTTCCTGTTGCTTAATGAAGTATTGGTGAAAAAAATACATCCCCTTGTAAAATCCCGCTATCAAAGCATCAGACACCAAGGTCGGCTGGCTGAATTGCCAAATATATTGGGCTCATTAATTATTTTGAAAATGGCCGCCGTTTCCATGTAAATAGGTTTCTTTTTCATGGTACTTATCTGCTATAAGCAACACGTATAAACATTGCCTTTATCTTTAACTGCAGTATTAAACTATGCAGAGTTTTTGTGAAGAGGAAAAACATCTGGTTCAATTACTCTGAACTCTGACTGCATGTGGGCCAGGAATAATAGGCGCTGGATTTCAGAATCAACCTGGTGTGTAATCTCGTTGTTTGGTTTTTATCCTTAAGATTTCACCGTGAGTGTTCTGTTCCGTCAATCATCCATGTGAGCACCTTTGGAACACATGTATAAGTGTACTTTCTGAATAAAGTCAAAAGCCTAACGTGTTTTTAGCTCCATAACGTTTTAATGTTTAATTCTATTGTGTGTTTTTCTCCCTTTCCCCCTGACACTCCAAAACCACCAAATCTGGAAAGCAGACTGGTTGTATCTCCCGTGAGCAAAGGAAACCCGAAGGAACCAGGGCCTGGCTGGACGGAGTTGTCATGTGTCTGCCTGTCTACACTTGCTGTGCAGAACATCCGCTCACCTGTACAGCAGGCACAGACAGGCAGTCACATGACAACCCAGCCTGAATGACCACCAGCCATTGAAAGAGAGCAGCCCTCACACCATATAGCATCTACACCACGAGCTACAACCAAAACGAGGGGCGCGGGGGGCGGGCTGGGGGCGGCTGGGGCTTTCATCTGTTGGTTGAATACTTAACTCGTATGTATTATTCTTCTTTGATTTTGACTCGGATATTGCAACCCACCAAACGTAAAGTGAGTCATGCCTATGGAATCTAATAAAACCCATTTCTGAAAATGTTCCTGTGCTTTTCATAGTTCTCTTTTCCTCATCATTGTCAGTAAATTACTGCCCTTGACATTTGTTTGTACACGGCCTCGCAGCACCCACGAAACAGGCTGATGCTTGACAAAGAATAAATGATTCGAATAATTCTACTCCAAAAACTACGTTTAGTTTTCTACATCGTGACTTTTTTTTTTTTTAAGAGAGAGGGAGAGAGGGAGACCAAAGAAAGAGAGGGAAGGATAACGGTCGAGGGGATCCTGTATTTGCAGGTAAACTTGGCCAGTTTGGTTCTGGGTAAAACAGAGTGAAAAGGGTATTTGCTTCCAGCATAATTTTCAAATGTATTAAAAAGAGTTGCTTCTCCCCTCTTGACATATGGAAAATTGAAAGTGAAGCTGTGATATCTCCGAGTGTCACGACATACATAGATTTATTACTGTGTCACTGTTTAATTTAGAAGGAGCTTGCACTGCAGCTCTGAGGGTGGAATTCGGGGGCCGCATTCACTCAGCACACAGGCTCCCATTCACTGTAAACTCCCCAACACTTGGGATGCTCAGGCAATTCCATTATTGTCAAAAAGAGCAAGCAAAGAGATTAGTGGGCATGCAATGCACATTCTGCCATATCTTTTGAGGAAATGTCAAAATCTCAGTTTACACGCTGTGAACTTTGCTCAAATGATGGGGGCTGGCTTGTGTGCATGAATATTTCAAACTCTTAAGGGTAAAAAGTGGGGAGACAGATAAAGTTAAAAATCCATCCACTTTGATTTGGTTCACTAAAATGTTTTAACTTGAGTTTTTAAAGTTAATCTTCATCTTCCATAAAAAGGTTCTGGTCAAGCTTTAAAAACTGTAGCACATGCCTACCCCCCAATTTTTTGTTTTTTTAATCTAATTAAACACTTTAAGTCTATATTTTGGACTAAAGCAAACTATTTTTATTCAACTATTTGATTTTTAAAATGAAAGATTTAGTCTTAAGGCTAAAAACCCCACGAGGTTCAAAAGTTCTATGATTTTGTGATATTTTACCAAACCTGACACCATAGTTTCTTTAAAAAATAAGTGATTAGGCCAAACTATGAAGTAACTATATGATTAAGGGTAAATGTTGGCATTTAACAATCTGGCCTAAGCAAATATGTCATCTGCTAAAATATGCTTCTGCAAAACACACTGTGCAAAGAAGGTTTTTACCTTAAAAGAAAAGTCCCATGACTAGAAAATAGAGTACTAAATAATAGTTCACAAAATGTCAAATATAAACAGGAAGACCATACAGAAATATCTCACAGAATATTTCCATAGTACCATGCAGTTTTAAATGCTTTCGATAACCTGCAGCAAACACCCCTGACAGGAGCCACTCTGGTTCATTCCTTCTACTGGACCCCGCAAAGCAGTCCCAGGATGAGCACGAGCGCTCTCCGGGGGATACACAGTGGGGTCAGAGTATAGAGACGGTTCCATTTCACCAGATTCCAAGGGGAAGGCTAGGAGGAAGTCTGTGGATTCATCCTGAAGCAAGCCATTCAGGAGAACACTTCCAATAATTTCCCCTGAAAACACGAGCTTAGCATCTTAGTTTGAACATATTTTTACTTGGCTCTCAAAAAGAAACGCTTGAAAGAATGTTATTTATATTTAAATTCATTACATGATGCACATTTGAAAATGTTACTCTTCTGAGAAAGGGTCATATAAAGAGGAATACTGCTCTTCCAGTATCAACTTTTGATTCGGACAAATAATACACAGAGGGGAGGGGGTCTGGGTCTACATGTGTTTTAGATACATTTGAAATAGCGCTTGCCATTATACTTTGTTGAATAATATTTTATGTTTTTCAAAAATTATAAAGCTTTGGATAATACCAGAATGTGGAAATGTCTGTATGAAATAATCCTATATTAAAAAGCATAACATAAAATGGTGTATGTATGTGAAAACACACACACACACACACACACACACACACACACACACACACACCAACTATGATCATGAAGAATTTCAGTAACGTAAACATTTTAAACTTCAATACTTGTTGGGACTGTTTTTTTTTTTTTTCCAACACAAAATATCTAAGTTTTCGCTAACTCAAACAATTCAAGTGAGAAGTGTGCGGTGCTCGCAGGGTTAACTTAGCCCTGACCTCCCCATCACAGAGAACATGCAGACCTGGCAGGAAACAGGCAGGACTGTGAACATATAAATGCAAATGGAAAGCCATGAAGATTTCTGTAACTTCTTGGCCTCGCAATGTGGGCCTTCCAGGGATAGAGCTGTCATTTTGTTTCCTATTGCTGAAGTTACATTTGTCATCTGTTACAGCTACATAATAAAAACAATACTAAGTAAATATCCCTATAAGGGAATTATATAATCTCCTTATCAAGCTATCCAAACACTTCAACCCACAAAAATGAGGCCTGTGATTTTTTTTTTTAAGAGTCCAAAGAATGTCCTTACTTTAATGCACATTTTAGATTTCCTTCAACACTGTAAGGTTAGTACATTTCCACTGGAAATGCTTCTGTTGAATTACCCTATTTTCCTATGAGGACTCCATAATGATTTTAATCTCTGAGTTGGAATATAGAAAGAGAATAAATACTGGCTCTGTGCTATTATTATGTATAAACCAGAAGTCCCCTTTCTTCAGAGATTTTAACTATCCTTTACACATTTCTCACTGATATTAAAAAAAATAAATAAGGTTCTTTTCTTATTGGATCAGAATATCCCATTCTTCTGAAATTCATATTTTAAATACATTTTTTTAAAACATGCATCACTGTTTTCAAATCTGATTTTAAAGTATTAATGTTAAACTATCTAAGTCCCAAATCCTTTCTATTTTATTCTCATACCTTGCCCTTTTCTAAATCCCTCCCAGAAACTGTACAAAATGTATTTACAATGTATGAAAATAATGCTGGGAAATTTATTTTCTGCTTAAATGACCTTCAATCCAGGAAGTTATACAGTCGGAGGAGAATAAAAAGTCCACTAACCTTTAATGATGAAAACCAAGAAAATTTTAATGCAATCTACCTAGAATGGTCATTTTACCCTGTAGCTCAATCATTTGGTTGTAGGCCTGGAGATACCAGGACGTGAAGAATTATTATGCTGCACTTATTCATTTCCTCACTCACACGTTCACGATCGATGTTTACTTAGTGCCACTATTAGGGCCATGTCCACGGCTGATAAAACAGTGAACAAGACGATGGCTCCTGGTCTCAGGAGGCTTACAGGTGAGCAGGAACTGAAACACTCAATCGATATTTAGCATACGTGATGACCTGTCACGTCAATTTCACCTTCTGACAAAATCCCTCAAATCCATCCAGGTCTATCAATTTCCACCAACCCACCCCCCCATCCAAGCCACCATCACCTCTTATGGAGACCATAGCAATAGCTTTCTAACGAGTCCCTGATCCAGTTGTGTCTTCCTCCAACCCTTTCTCTACACAGCCACCAAAAGGATCTGTAAAATCTCAAATCTTACTATGTGACTCTCCAGCTCCAAAACGTCAAAGGTATCTTCGGATCAAAGTCCTTCATCTTTATAAGAGTTCTTTTCTCTCTTTGTCCCAGTCCCGTGGGCCTTAACTCAGTTTCTTAAATTCATCAGACTCCATCTCGCCTCGGGGTCTTAACACAAACCTCCTGTGACCTCCCTGCGCTGCAACCCCCACCCCAGACAAACCCTTCGTGGGACTGACTTTCTTCACGGTCTGCAATCTGCATCGGATAGGCTTTCCCGTTTGTTTACACGTTTTCTTTACTGGGAAACATCCTTCCTGAGAGTAGGCACCCCGAGTTCGTTGCTCGCCGTGTCATCCTTAGTGACTAGGTGAGCGTCTGGTATGTAACAGATGCTCAGAAAATACTTGCTGGGCAAGTTCAGGCGATTCAGGGCAGGCACTGACGCTGAGCAGCTGCCTAAGCTGCGCATTCTCTTGGCGTCTCCATCTTCATCTCTCACATGGAGAATGTAAATGAAGTACTGACTTAGCTCAGGGCCTGGTGAACTATAAAAACTCAGTAAATGTTCACTCTTTAAAGGGATGGTCATCATTTAGACTCGTTCAGACTGAAAGCCGACCTTCACGAGTTTCAGCAGGGAGAATGAAGATGGAGACACCACTTCCAAGAACAGTCACTGTTGGGTGGGGGAGCGCCTGGTTCACTGGAAGTGCCTTTGGTTTGGTGGAGCATTTTGACTAGATTGGATACGCAAACGTGAGCCTGCAGCGAAGGCTTGGCTGGATGCTGAGGGGGCTAAAGGCATGCACAGGAGAGTGAGGAGCACCTGGAGCTTGGGGCAATCCAGGCTGAGAGCAAGGAGGTGAGAGCTGGGAGGGGAAAGAGAAAGAGAGAAACCAACACACCATCCTTGGGTTGGGCCAGCACACAGCTCAGAGCCACCAGCGACACACCCACGTGGCATGTACACAGGTCAAAAATACCATGCAGAGGGGTATCTAACATTCTCTCTGAGGTTGTTTAAATGGCTGTATTCCTTCCTGAAATCCTTAGTAAAGATGAGAACAACAAATACCCTATGACATTATTTTGATAGATGTCAAAGGAGTGTCATCCATTCCAGACCTGAGAGGATCTATGCGGATACACAAGGCCACGTGCCCACGCTCAGTCTTGCTCCCATAGATAGCTTCTGCTTGACTAGGGGGACGCACAGTGGCAAAATGCCCCCAGGAGGATGAACCTGGAAGAGGTCTATGCAACCTGGGGAGGAAATTTCAGAGTCTGGGGTACTCGATATGACATAGAAAGATGTTTAGGTTTGGGCAAATCCCCTTGGTGATTAGTTATAACCTGTGGAACCCTGTAAAAGATGCTCTATTTCTTTTCATGTTGCAGAAAGCCCCAATCTTAATGTTAGAGGCTAACATAACATCAAGTAGCTAGATGAATAACGTCTACCGCAACCACCGTGTATTACAAAGGCTCTGAAAGTAACGGTGGAAATAGCATCGCCTGGGACACTGGTGGAAAGCTTTCCATGAGGCTCATCGATCAGTAACTCTACAAATATCATTATTTGAATGCAGAATAATGGTTCAGAAAATGCAGTCCACAGATGCTTGAGGGTGTTCATGAATTCACCTAAAATTCAAGGGGAGGGTGGATAGATCCATTCAGAAAATGGAGGGAAAATACTGGGGACTTACTCTTACAGTCATGGCAACTCTAGCTCACAATGATTGCACCATTGCCTCTGCCCATTTGGACAGGAAGTACCGTAGTTTAATATCATCATCTCTAATTCTTGGCTGAAGTGCAGGAGAACCCACGGGCCGGAGGGGAGGCGGCATGGAAAGCCTCAGTGGAGGGATGGGATCTAAGTTTGTGCTGATGATCTGAACCTCACCATTATCCGCTCACCCCCCACCCCCACCCCGAGATCCCATACATCCTGTCTCATGGTATGAAATGACAGAAAGAAAGAAAGAAAATTAGAAGACATGAGTCAACGAAACACATCACAGTAGGAAGGCACGATGTTACTTCAAATGGCAAAAATAAATATATAAATGTGATGCTTAAAAGTTTGTCAAAGCACTTATGAATATATGATTTCTTAGAGTCCTACAATATCCCTTTGAGGTGATTTGGTTGGCAACGGTCCCCATTTGATAAGTGAAAAGAATGAGGCTCAGCGAAGCGCAACTCGTTCCAACCCCGGCAGTTCGTCATGGCCAACCCACATCCTCTGGCATCCCACCCTTCATTGCACCGAGCATATGGTCTATAGGGCCCTTTGTTCAACGAATGTCATTCTGCAGCACAGTCTGAGCCATTGTTCTTTAATCCCAAATATATTTCACAAGTCATTTATATTGATTACAAACCTGTTGTAAGTTAAATAAAACCATATCTATCCATATGACATAATACACTATTTATTCAACAGCCAATTTGAGTATAATGAAAACATACCAGGCTAATTACACAAGAAAGCAGGAGGGTGGCAGAACCCAGAAAGAAAAAAAAATTACAACCTTCTGTGAAAATCTGAATATAAAGTTATCATTGAATACATGAGTGAATCTGCGACTGACTGGATGATATTTACTGTGTCATATTTGCTTGAGTAAGAAGGAGAAATGGGCAAGGGACAGGGTTTCCAGTGTGTTGGAGATGACATGGGTACAGATGGACAGATACATGGGGACAAAGCACAAGTGCTCTGCTTACAACACACTGACTCCAAAAGCTGACTTCGAACCGAGGCTCATTTTTACAAAGGAATATTCTAAATGTGGGGTTTTCGAGGTTGCCCTCAGAAGCGTGTTTAATCCATATGGAGTTAAACTAGGGCAGCAAGACATCTAGGGAGCTTTGCATCACTTAAAACACTACGGTTAAGGGCAGGTGTTCAGGGTGCAGATTCCAGACGCCAATCACCGCCTTCAGGCCCCGCCCTCCTGACCTTTCTCCATGACCTCTTTCCCCATATCCTCCTTCCTGCCATGGCTCCCAGCAGACAGGAACAACTGTTTGTTGAATACCAGCAAAGAGAAAGGGACAGTGCTGGCCCCTTCCTTTCGCCCTGAGAGCAGGCCCACAAGTGGCCTGCAGTGACAGGAAGCCCTGGCAAGAGACAGCAGGGTCGAGAATAACAGTGGGGTGGCCAAGGAGGTGGGAATCAATGAGGATGGCTCCAGCAGAAAAGACTTTGCCCCACTGACACAGACAACTTGAAAGTAAGGGTCAGTCGCAAGCCAGGCATTAATAGGTTGAACACGTCCTATCTTGTTTCTCGAGCAGTCTTTAAGGGGTGACAGTCGCTAAGACCTGCAGTGTAGCTGTGTGGGACCCATCACTTTGCAACCCTGAACTTGAGCACTCCGCTCATGCCACCCAGTACAAGCCACCATCTTCGGCTGCCTGGGCCACTGCCACCGGCTTCCTAGCTGGTCTCCATTCTTCTCTTCTTGCCACCCACTCCCTCCGTAGTCTCATTCCAACCCATACACTATGGTCAACCCAACAGCCAGAGTGATCTTTCTAGAACATAAACCCCGTAATAGCACAGCCAGCTGGAACAGGTCCATGGCTTTCAACCATCCGTGGAAGCCAATTCAATCACTGGGCGGGGGCTGATGAGGCCCCATGGGCTGGCACCTCTGATTTGACTTCCTACCTCCCTCCCTCGCTGCTCCTATGTTCCAGCCGCAGGCTACCTGCCAGCTCCCATCCCGGGAGGCTTCATCCTTACTGCTCCCTCTACCTGGAACGTTCCCTCGACAAAATCTTCTGCATGGCTCATCATTCCAGGCTCTGCTCAGTGTGACGTCCTCCCACACGCCCGATGGGAAGGTCCCTCCCCATCACCTTCTAGCTCGTCGCCCTATTTTATTTTCTCCAGAGCACTTAGTATCTGATAGGCTATTATTAGTCTACTCGTTAATTCCATTGGGAAGCACACTTGTCTGACATTTTGTCTTTCTTGAAGCTATCTGAGCTGAGAAAACAACCCTTTCCTAAATTTTCTTCATCTAAATCACTCCCGTTTATTTCAGAGGTCGTTCCTACCCTACACACACACACACACACACACACACACACACACACACACACACACACACACACACACACACACACCTCCACACACGTGCCTTTGAGAAAATGTTCTCTGGCACTTGGCTAACATGATCCCTGCACATGTGTGTTTTCTATGTGTTGTAATCAGGTGCTCAGGGGGACCTTCGGCAGCAGAGATCATGTGAAAAGTTATCCTGAGTTTAGAGAGAAGAGGGAGGCATGGCTGGTGACCACGATGAGCTGACCAAGTGCTCCAGGCCTCTTTCTTCCTACAGAAAGCATCGTGTGCCTTCCTGTGGGCTTACTTCAGTGCCCCCCACAGCCGGACAAGAGAACCTTAAAGCCATACTCTAGTAGCAGTAGCTACCCCAAGTTTTCAGAGCCCCTGATACTAACAAACACCCAGGAAAAGGTCAATGTTGAGATGCCCAGAACTCACCTTAGTAAACCCCCTGAGGTTTACTAAGTGCCATGGACAAATCCAGCACTTCTGGGATTCTTGCCTCCATTTGTTGTTGACAGCATAAGCTCCAGAGCCACACAGCTTGCGTTCAAATTTCTGCTTTGCCACCAACTAGCTGTGTGGCCTTGGGAAGTTCATTACCTCACCAACACCAAGCGATAAAGGAAACCGAGCCCTATAGAAATGACTTTCAAAAGGCCGGGGATTTTTTGGTTTGTTTACTCATCTGAAAAATGGGGACAGTAATAGTACCTATCCTTAGGATTGTATTATGGATTAAATGAGTTAACTACCATATAGGAAATGCTAGCTATTACTATTAGGATCCCTCAGCCAAAGCTTTTGCTATCCCTAGACAGAAAAAGGCCCCAAAACCAAAGACATTGAAATATACGTAAGTGAGCACCTAAAACCTTGGAAACAAAATGTATTTAAGAGAAGACTGTCATAGGGCAGCTGAGCACAAAAGAAGATAATCATTTGCTAATTTTCCGACTCGGGGCATCTACGGCAGAACTCCTGAAGCTCTGGTCTTTAAACACTGGGGCTTCCCGCAGAAGGACAGTGACATCTAAGCAGCCAGCACAGGAAAGGAACTATCATTAGTCCTCACACTCTCACTACCACCAGGTCCATGTTTGGCTGACTTCAGTAAAATATATGACATAAAAATGGAAAATAAAGCTTTTGGGGAGACATTATCTGTGGACATTTCTATAGGATTTGATCTCCCTTCCTGCAGAAAATTCAGTGGAAATCAACTGATCTTCTGATATTTATCCAACACGCTACTGTGCACAAAACACTTAAGGACCGGAAAAACTATATAAGACATGAAACTTTTCCTTTGCAGTGTTTTCAAAAGATGCAAAGCCAAGATGAGAAGGACTGTTAACTGAAATGCATGCTCTTTAGAGGCAAATAAACGTGAGGCAATCTCACCTGGAAATCAGAGTTCTTTCACTAGTTCTATCACGGACTAGTGCTCTTATCTAACGTCTGCATGTACATTAGAAGCATCGAAAACGTCTCAGGTCAGACCAGAGCTATTAACATTTCCCAAACAGTTTCATCTGCATCCACGCCCTCCCAAATTTCACAGAACTCTGTACTACTTGATAGCACTTGAATGCTTCTGCAAGACTGAGATATATATTTTTTGCACTTTTATAGCTACCAGATTTAAATAAGTCGCAAGACCGAAATTAACACCTAACACAAACCGAAACACCATACTTATCATAATTCATGAGTTTACATAGACATCAAAATATCAAAGAATAAAAATTCATATAGACAATTATCTGGGACTCACTTGAATGTGAGTGATTTAGACATTTTCAAAAGCCTGTCCTTTGAGACAGACATCACTGCGACCATCCCCAAATGCTTGATTAACTCTGCATGAGTACTATGAATTTTGTTCTTATGCTGCTCTGTTTCCTTGAGTCTTTTCAACACCCTATACAATGAAAAGTGCGTTCACTGTATCAGTACCCTGCCATTATTACAAAGAAAGACATTTCAACTCCATTTTTTCAGGTAAGCAAACATGTGACTACACCAAAGAAGCAAAAGAAATGTGACGGGAATATGTAAAATGAAAAATCTATGAGGAAAAAACAGTGTTTCTTCCAACAAACAACCCAAACCAAGTCTTACTGAAAGACGACCACCAGGTGCTTCAAAATCGTAGGTCACAATGATATCAATTAATGTGAAATGAGAAACACTGGGATGAGAAAACCCTATCACTCTCTGTGGCTTACCTCATCATCTTTGTACCAGGACAAGCTTTCAGCAGTGAGGACGAACCAGTATCCCTTGGAGCCTCCTTTCATGATGCCAATGTTGCTGATGGTTAGCCAGCCCTTGCGAATAACCTGCAAGAGAGCACAGGTCAGCAGAGACGCTTAGTTCAGCCTGAGCCCTCGGAGACCACAGGTCTTGCACTTAAGTGAAGTTAAAAACAAGTTATAAATTACAATAAGAATAGCACTGTTCCTGCAGAGCTCAACCTCTATTAAGCTGTTCGAGATCATTTATCTCACACAAGTACAGACAACCAGAGGGAAGGAAGTCTCTCCCATCAAATGGACAAAATCACAATGGCGGACTTATATAGATGGCGGATGTAGAATGTCTGAAAGAGACAGGAACAACATGACTTATAGGCTTGTGCCAGGCCTATTTATGGCATGGCCGCCACAATTAACACATACTTGGTGATGAACAGCAATAGACTCTCTATGCCCACTGCCTCTCCTCTCTTCCAGCCCACTGGCCCATTTTGTTTGCCTGGTTTGCATCTCATTAGATTTCTACCAGAGACTGGGCACCAAATGGTGAAAGGAAAAAACTCAAGCCAACCACATAGTTCCTTGTTAACAGCTTTGAATAAGGCTGAATGAAAGAGAAAGCTGAAACAATGAGCTAAAATGAAAAGTTTGGAGTTTTTTAATGGTCCAGATTTATCCATCTACTTCTGGTTGTTATTTGCCATACTAAAAAATATGTGGCATCTGCATAAAAATCTTTAAACAGCATCTAAATTTTAAATCACTAACAACTAGGATTACCGATTTGATAAAAATTATTCATAACTAGCATTTAAGTAAAATTCTATTTTTTTCTCACACTTGTTGTAAAGTTAAATCCTGTCTTCTGTATGGCATAGTGTGCCACCTCCTCTGTGCTAGATAATTTTTGTTGTCATAGAACCAGAAATCAAATACTATGTGGAATTGTCTGATATTATTTTAAATGCAAAAAAAGTCATCCAATACCTAAATTGTTCAATATCCCAGAGAGCCTGAAATGATGTTTTTGTTTGTTTGTTTGTTTTTAAAGATTTTATTGGGGAATCGGGGAAGGGGAACAGACAAGTTGCTGTCCTTTTGTTCTTCAGTCTAGTTGTGGAGGACGTCGCTTCACTGGCCCATGTTAGTATTATGATCATGGCACTCTTCCCAGGTGAGGCAGATCAGTCGCCAGCCATTGGATGGCCACTCACAGCAGCTCAAGCCAGCTGCCGGCCACTCACACTGGCTGCCGTCCACTTATGGTAGCTTACAGCAGCCCACTGCAGCCTACGCCGTCGTCGGCAACTCACAGCAGCCCAGCTCCAGGTTGAGCTGTTGTTCACCACCTTAGCTGTAGAGGGCACAGAGTCACTGGCCCATGTGGGATCCAAACCGGTGGCCCTGCTGCTTAGATCTGGCGCTCCCAAGCCAACTCTTAACCAACGAGCCACTTGGTCGGCCCCTGAAATGGTTTTTAAATTACTGAATTATTGAATGACTGATGAGTGTCAGTTCCTAAAGGAAGATGAAAATACCCTAATAATCCGATTTTATATTTATATTGCTATTGTTTCTAATTGAAGAAGAAAATTCAATCCTGAGGAAAACTGTGAAATAAGTCAAGGTTATCACTATTGATCTTCCACGCTCTGTCCCTTGAGTCCCTGTTTCAGCATCTCCCAGGTGCCTGTTCCCCTTTTTGATGCTCTGTGCAAGTTTTACAGACCCCCATATAGAAGCCCATTCAGGCCCAGACTGAGGCAGTTCTCTCCTCTGTTCAAAATTACTTTTTACCCTCCACCTCTTTTTACTCTCCACTTCAAAGTATGGTTTCTACCACCTATATTACCATCGCTGAAGCACTTTCTAAAAACACAGATTCTTAGGCCACCTACAAGTCCAAATGAATCAGAGTATGTACATATGAAACCCAGAAATCTACATTTTAACATGTTCCCAAGGTGATTCTTATCTATACTGAAGTTTGAAAACCACTGAGTATATACATACAATCAAAACTTCACTGTCCTTAGGCAGATGATCTCATCCAATTTTTACTAAGGAGCTGATTAAGTTATTTCCCACTTAGCATTGCTACCCACCCTACCAGCGCTTACAACTTGCACGCTAAGCAAAATATTCAATGAAAGTGTGTTCATTATTTCATTTTATCAGGTATGTTTGGATACAGAGGAATTCTTCCAGATACTCCACAAATTGCAATAAGCAAAATGTTATTTCACCCACTAATTGGACAGGCCAGCTCCATCAAGGAGAGCCATGAATTCAGTTCAACAACAGACATTTCTTAAGAACCTATCATATGTCAAGATGGAAAAAGCACAGTGATGCCACAATGTCTGCCCTCAAGAATCTTATAGCTTAGTAGGGAATGCAGATCTATAAAGAGATAATTTCAATAACATAATGTAGTAAGAGATATATGCTAAGCAAATGAAGGGGCACTCAACAAACTTAGAAAGTTGTAATAGGTTTCCTTGAAAAGATGATAGCTTAGAAGAACCTGGAAGAGAAATTGAATTAGCCAGGTCAGGAAGTAGTTTGTTTATTTGTTTTTTTACGAAGAACAAACGAGAAAAAAAATATGGAAAAGCCAGTTGGTGCAGAAAAGGTGAGGTGGGGATGAAGAAATTGAGGCTGGCGAGGCAGGCGGGGTCAAGTCAGAGTGGCTCCAGATCAATGGGACCCCGAATTTTAGTGAGCTCCCCTGGCAGTACCAAAATAAATGAATTACCACTACACATGTGAATTCATTTGTAAAATATAGATGACCACAACTAATAAATTGTGTACTTCATATTGAAATACACAAAGAAATCTGGAAGTATGACATGAAGATTAAATAAATAATATTTTAAATATTTTTTTTATTTTGTGAAGGACATGTATTTCATTTGTTATGTTTATAACTTTATTATTAACTTCTCTGTGATATAGGGCGAGGGTGCTGGCATAAATATGCATAATAAATATTAATGAAGCTTAACTGTACTCTTATTTTCTGGAGAAAAACACAGGTAAGTAGATGTTCTATGATAGTCTCCTGCATTCTGGGGGATTTTGCGTGGTTCCTGGGACAGACAAACTAGGCTATGTAAGTTATTACAATAGCCCGAGTGAGAAAGGACCAAGGTATAAAGTGAGACCGTGATGTGGTGAGGATGAAAAGAAAGAAGCCTAGTGAGGAAGCGTGTAGGAGATCAAGTCAGTTATGGCGGGATGAGAGCGGGGTTTGTGAAGGTACCAACCCTGGAACCACCTTCCACAGTAGCCACGAGCCACACACAGTCATTGAGCCTTAGTGAATAGTTTCAATTGACACGTGAAGTAAGTACAAAATGCACACTGGATTTTAAAACCCTAGTACAAAACATATAAAATATCTCATTAAAGGTTTTCGAATTGATAATGTGAAGATAAGTCAACAGAAACCACATTGAGATTGGAGCTGGGAGGGCCTGTAGGGGGAGCTCTCATGCCCTACTACTCACTGGCTCGGACTACAAACAAAAAGAGAGAGACTTCCCAGCTCCAACAGGAGGATATTTTTCTACTCTACTTATAATACTACTCCAGTAGGAAGAGGGAGGATCTTCTCCTTCCCCCGGTAACCACACAGCCAGTGACAGACTGTTACAACTCAGCCAATAGAAAGCCACCATACTTCAAACTTCCAGTTTCCTCCAATGGACTCTTTGTTTACAACAGCTCCACTGAACTTCCCCTTTCCTCCATAAAAGACTATTTCTCACCTTTGATCTTTGGACGTTTATGTGGTTCACCATTAGGCCAGATGTCCCGAATTGCAATTTTTTGTTGTTCCCAAATAAACCCATTTTGCTGGTGAATTATCTGTCTATTTGTTTAAGGCCGACAATCAATTGCATGTTGAAATGATAATATTTTGGATATATTGGGTTATAAAATCTATCTTTAATATTCACTTCACCTGCTTCATTTTATTTTTTTAATGTGGCTACCAGAAAATTTTAAATTACATATATAGTTTGCATTATATTTTTATTGGACATTGTGCTGCTGTTCTAGAATGATTATGAAACTCTTGGGGCTATACCAACTCAGGAGGAATAGAGGAGAAGAACCAAGCTTTTGAGAAGTCAGGGAATTGATGATGAATTCAGCCATGGCCATGTTGAATCTGAGGTACCCGTGGGAATTACGCATAGAAGTGACCTGACCTCTGAAGCAAAATGGAGGCGTTAGGACTGGAGGTGTAGGCTTTCAAGTCATCAGCACATATATAGGTGGCAATTAAAACTGAGCGAAAGAGGCTCAAGGCAGAATCTTGGGGACATGCGAACATTTAAGAGGTGGTCAGAAAAGTGTCTGAAATGTCAAAGAAATAAGAGCAATAATATTATGAAAGCTAAAAGCAAGGTGAATTTCAAGGAGCGTGTGGCTGTATCAAATTCCGTAGAGAAAGAGATGTTGAAGTCACTGCAGACATCATAGTGTCTTTAGCTATGTCAGCTACAGTGCAGTGGGTGGTGGGATAAGTCAGGGTCCACAGTGAATGGGAAGTAAAAAATGGAGACAATGGCTAAAAAGAGCTCTTTCCAGAGGAGCATGAAGTACAATTAAAACCAGAAGACCAGAACAGACACGGGGGGAGAAAGAGGCGTTGTTGTTGTTGCTGCTCCTGCTATTTTTCAGTTTGGGGATTTTTATTTTATTTACTTATTTTCTTATGGCAAGACTTGAGATTTTTATTGCTTGGGGAAAATAATTGGTAGAGAGTAAGAGGTTGGTGATCTAGGAAAGGCAATACGGGGACAAAGAAGATGGGAATAGATGAGATGCAGAGCACAGGAAGGGATGGCCTTTGAACGTGATTGGAGCTGCCTTATCTGTGAGCCTGTGGGAGTGAGGCCAGGGGCAGGTCCTTTGTGCAGGAAAGGGTAGATGGTTTAGGAAGGTTATAGTTGATCTTTCCAGTATTCTCCACAAGAGACTAAATTATCTGCAGGAGGATGAGGGTGAGAGAAGTTGGAAAGAAGGCTTCAGGGTACTGTGAAGCATTGGAACAATCAATAATTGAA